TTTATACTTTAAGTAAATTTACAAGCCTGTACTTTGTTACTTTTACTTGAGTAGAGAAGTTCAATCAGTACTTCCACTTTTACCAGAGTATTTTTTTAACACAAGTATCTGTACTTTTACTCAAGTACGGAAAGTGAGTACTTTTGCCATCTCTGTCTCCTATGCTGTAAAGTGTTGTAACTTAAAACTTTCCTTATGTTTTTTTTTTTTTTTTTTTTTTTTCTGCTGCCCATCTCAAACTATCAGTGATAAAGGGCAGCATTTGTCATTGTGCAACCTGAAGACAGAGAACTGTTTATAAACTCATGAATGCCTCAGGCAATAAAAAATAAGTACAAAAGAACATGTAAACACCATGCAGGAATTTCTTGGGTGGAATGTGATCTCAGGATCTCCTTGTAGCAATGCTTAGAACTTTGTCCCCATGCTGCCCAATGTTAAAGGAAACAGTTTCTTTAAAAAGTCAGCATTAAAGGGTTAAAAATGTTTTCTTTTCTGAAAAAAAAAAATCTCTAACATCAAAAGGAGTACCTTCAGTATGTGAAAATGACTGGGTGTTAAGGGAGCAAGTTTTACTCTCACCCTGTCCTGTCAATCTGCAGTGCCGGATCCTCTCCACAACATCAATGCAGATTAAGGAGAAGAAGACCAAAGACACAGGGATCTCTGTAAAGGTATCATGTTTCAAGTTGTTGTTTATCTGTACCTGGACAAAAAATGAGATAAAAATTATGAATTAGGTTTTAGGTTTAGAGATTGCGCTACCAATGACCCAAAGCCTCCAGTTCTCAGTAAACAAGATTAGATTGAGACATTATATCTCTTGCAGCTTTGGTATTTGCTTAAGTCAGTAGTTCACACCAATGGGACACAGAAAAAAAGCTGACAAAGATCCCATCTTAGCAGAATTTATGGCACTTTTGGAAAAGACACCGGATAAGAAAAGGGATGTTGGGTCAGCTTAGACTTCTGAGAAAACTACGTGAAACGGCAAACTGAGTTTGGATGGAATCCAACAAGGAAGTCCGAATGTGCCTCATGGACAGATAATTTGACAGCATGGAGAGGAAGAGGAACCAAGCTGCTTATCTGTAGCCTCTTAACCATTAGGTTGGATGTTCTCCCCATGGTACAACAGGATTCTGTCAAATCACAACCTTTGCTCCACTTAAAAGGCCCTCAAAGCTAAACAGATGTATCAAATAGTTCTCTGTATACTGTTACCTCAGAGCTGGCAATAAGAAATGCAAAGCAGGGTAACGTTGACAGGATTACATATACCAGGGCCACGGGCCTCCTGAGGTGACAGCAAAAAAAGATAAGAGATCAAGATGAAAGCAGTTTTAACAGTTGCTAACTCATAGTATTGACATGAACCAGTTACAAGCCTGTTGTGACCCACACCAGCTGAGTTGCAAAAAGCTTCAAGATAATGACACAAACAGTAAGGGCATCAGAAACTTACCACTTCTTCCTCCCGACAATAAACTTCTTTTTCATAAACACCATGTATTTCAAAGGTACCCAAACCAGCAGGGCAGTGGAGGTAACATAGGCAATGGAGGAGGCCACGATCAGCCAGTAGGCAGTACTGCTGTCGCCCGGTGGCTGTGCAGATGCTTTGACCATGGCCACAATGACTGCAAATCTCTGCATTACAATAAATAGTGGCACGCACAGACCCGCAAATTGCAGAACTTCACAAAGGGCAAACTTTAATGTACTCCCCGATCCCATCTTGTGGCAGCTCGCAATAAGAGAAGGAAAGGAGGGAGATGGTGAGGCGACCACTGCCCCTCCGAGGGCTGGTCAGGCCTCGGACTGTGGCATTGTCTGCCTCCACTAGCATTTTCCACACACCACAGTCTGAGCTCTCTGCTCAACCAACTGCTTACACTGCACTAGGTATTGTGTTCTCCAGAGTGATGGTGATGTGACAAACCTTTAGTCTAGTTTTATAAAGACAATAAACAGTTAATCAATTCCCAGACTTGAATGATGTGTTAGTAATGCAACTAAGCCAAAGATTTTATGTCTTTGCAATCTATAAGTGGAGCTGTGACCTATTTAATTGTTTGAGTTGTTAGCTCAGGTTCAAGAATCCTAATCAACAAAAGCAAAAACAAACTGCTTCTACCATTGATATGCTGCCATCTAGTGACAAAATCATATTGATGGAAAACCAACAACATTTATTTACCTAAATGCTAATCTTAAGAAAAGTTTTCTCTAACTATTTGAAGATATTGGGGTTTCTAACTTGATAGGTTGGGGCTGTATTGTGATGAGAGTGTTTCCTTGCCATTCAGGTATTTTACGCTTGGGAGAGTGTATCGTATCTGTTTAAAATAAGGTTAATCCACTATGTAATTGGGTTGATGTGTTTAGTTTCTGTATGTTTTGCATGATGTCATTAGGAGAGCCAGCTTTAGAATGTGCAGCACTGCATTTTTTTCAAATAGTGCTCCATGTCAGGAAAACAAAACTGATATGCATATATAAAGTAAGCTTTGCTTTCCTATTTTCTTCACACTATGTCAAACATAAGACATATACATTTTTTTTTACATAAATTGTTTTTGCACATATTTCAAAACAATACTTCTGTCCTGCCAATGCATATTTGACCAGTCATGAGAGTGTTGAAGAAGCTCTGAAGAATCATAATAATATTTAAAAAAAATGCTTTATAACCAAGATGTATTTTTTCACATCCACGGGCAGGTTTTTTTTGATAAAAAATGCTACATGTGAACCAATAAACATTCAGTAAAGATAGCTAAGGTCATAGATGATGCCATCCCACAAATGATGCCATCCCAAGATACTGGGAGACTGACAGAATTCTTTTAATGCTATTTAAAGATATATACAATAATAGCCAGAATCAAGGGCTTTGGGACATGGGTGTTAAGATAAGTGACAGTACAGAGTTAAAGGCTAGCATTTATTGGAGCTCAAAAAGGGTATGTTAAGTCCACTTCTCTACTCTGATAACACACAATAGTGTTGTTACAAATGTGCACAAAACCATAGATTTTTCTACAAATTTCTCAAATGCAAACTTTCACAATTGCAGTATTTCCATTAAACAACAAATACAATTAAAACTACATGTGAATACATTTATTTATGCAATAAACAAAACATGCCTGCAAAGGATGTAAACACATTAGATACAGCATACCGGTATCTATATTTAAGCCATGACTTTAGTGGGAGCCATCGTCCTCCAGCTACTTCCAGGCTTCTTCTTCGTCTTGTTACAAGGCATTAAGGTCCAGCTGCAAATCATGTGACTGGTGTTGTGAAAAACCATGTTCACTACAATGTGTATGAAGACAGATTTTATGGTTTAACTTAAAGTAAAAAATGCAAGAAAATATTTATTTTCTGAGATATCTGCTTTTAGCATAAATAGCAATGCACATTCCCTAATAGCCACTATGAACCGGCTGTGACTGTAACATCTAAACTCCATTTTACCAGGGACAGCAAGGAATTTACTAATTTCTTCACTGACAAAAAAACACAAAAGATTAGACTAGCTAGAACCAAAGCTGTGTCCTGCAAGAGCTGATCTTGACAAAAGTTTATAAGCTAAAAAAAAAAAAAAATCTTAGAAGAAATCATACTCCCACCATGGTCTTCTTTCTGCGGTTTAGATTTTTTACCCATGACTTTTAAATAAGCTCTGCCTGTTATATCATCTGAGTCAACTAAAATAATAAACACATTATGATTGTCAGGTGTTCTTCTCCAGGACCTAAAACAACTATTTTATACTTGCATTTAAAAAAGCTAATCAAAGACAAGTTGCTACTATAGAACTAGATTCCTACAGTATCTTGAACCTCCTCTTCCCTTCACTAAGATTATTTCAAACAAGCTTGTTTCAAAAGCTAAACACCTTTCTAACAGACCAGCCATTTGGACTTCTTCCGATCAGTCTTTTTTGCTTACTACAGTTAAGAGACTGCCCTTGTTAAGGTGTTAAATGACATCAATTTAAATGCAGACTGAGGAAAAACCAAATGTGCTTGTATTATTGGACCTTAGAGCAGCATTTGACACAGTTTATCACTAGGTGGAAAACTGCCTTTCTCTTTCCATGTTGGACTGGTTTAAATCTTGCTTCAAAGACAGGACCTTCATTGGGTGAGTAGGAAACTTTACATTAGAAGCTACAAAAATGGATGATCTTGGCATTCCCCAAGGATCCCTCTTAGGCCCCCTCCTGTTTCATATCTAAATGCTCCCCCCTACTTAGATCTTTATCAACAACAACAAGATAAACTACCGTAACCATACAAACACAAAGCTGCTCATTACAATGTTGCTAGACGACTATGAACCCCTTTAAGCGCTGGGTAAATGCATAGAAGAAATCTCATGGTTGATCCAAAAGGTATAAGTCTCAGTAGTTTGATGCAACAGCAGATATCAAGTTACCAGAAAGGACCAGGAAGATAATAGCTCAATAGAGATTCATGTGTTTAGAATGGGCTCATCAATGTCCAGATCTGAATTTACTTTATGATTTGTGATGAGACACAACATGGTTGTTAATATACACTACCCATATGTGAATGGGCTTACACTATTTGGAAAACAACAATAAATAACTGATTGGAAATAATCTCTCCATACTGGAAAAGATGAATACAAATACATGCCATGCTTTTTTACATTTAGGGGGAGTGTTGGCCTGTGGGTTAGAGCACTGTGCCTATGCTCTAAGAAGGTTGCAAATACCTGGTCGATCCCCACAGCCTTCACTCTGGGTCCCTTTCTTTTTCCAATCATTCTGGAAAAGGACCATTTCATTTTAAAAGAATACATTTGCAAGACGTGTTTAGGTCTGATTTAAAGTACATGCAGCGGGGCCAACCGGCAGGCCACGCAGTTGTCCCACAGAGAGAGTGTGTGTGATAGAGAGGGGGTGTCTCTGTGGGTGGATAGATGGATGAATGACCCCACTGCTCCCCACCCCAGCTGTCACCTCCCTTTCTGACTTCCCCACCCTGCCCCCGGTGCCATGGCGTCCAGCGAGGAGGACGGCACGGTGGAGGAGAAGGAAAACAACAACAAGAAGAGAACGAAAAGTGCCCTCATAACAGCATGGCTCACTTTCTACAACATCGCCATGACAGCCGGGTATGTCCCTTTATTCCACCCCCCTTTCTTCCTGCCTATTAATAAGAAAGCCGGATAAGTTTGCCGCTCCCTAAAAAACTGTAAGCGTGTGTTGCTGTTTATAGGACTGAGCCTGTGTGTGTCAGCCTGAAAGTGCCTGTTCAGCTCGAAGGATTTAGCAGCTGCTGGAGTTAGTAGAAAAATATTTTGTGGACAGGGTTGTCAAAGTAGAAGACAGTTTGATAAAAAGCCAGCAGGAAGATCTTTGAATGAAGGGTCAGAAAATGAATGAACAGCGGCAGGTTCGAGGTGACAGGCTGTGGTTGGAGCCGTGTCCAAATAGGGCTGGCTGCATGCTGTCAGCGTCAAGGCCCACTGTGGGTCCAACAGTCGCAGTGATAAGTATAGCTGGACTGAGCTGCTGCTGCTGCTGCTGACACTGGAGCCTAGTCTGGGAAAGCAAAGTGCTCAATGGGCAGATTTTTAGGAACAACACAACATCTGTCTGACTTAAGTAGGCCATGGTGTGTTTATCACAACAAAGAAATAAAAGTAAATCAGAATATTAGGTTATTATTGGATCAAAATAATCAGATTGTGAAATAATAATAATAAAAAAAGTCTATTATAAATGTTTTTGTTTTTTTGTATTCAGTCATTTCAGAATTTTTTAAATATGTACTACTGCCTTTCCAACCTCAGATTACAGCAGCATTTACAGTTTAAAAAGGAGGTCAGCAGAGTATATCATCTTTACCTATATTGTTATCACAGTATCATTGTATGCAAGATGTTCATCAGAAAGAACTGCCCTGACTGCATTCAGGCTCCACTGCCAGCAATGTATTCAGTTTGCACTTGTGAAGTTATTTTAATGACAAAGCATATGTTGGTGCATCTTGTGGAATTGGAAAAATGTACTTATTTTTTTCCCCAATTACTGGACTGACTACTTAAATTTTAATGTCAATGTCTGCTTTAAACCTAGGGCTGGGCGATAAAACAATAACAATATGTATTGTGAAATAACTTTTTCTCGATTAAAGTATGAGTCTACCGTGATGGAACTTCTTTTTTTTTTTGGTAGTAGCCAATCATAATTAGGAAATACTGTGACAAACCAATAGAAACAGAGCCAGGTCAGGTTAGGTTGACTTGTTTACATACAGCACAATAATAGCAAAGCGGCCCACGTGTATGTTTGGGCTGCAGCATAAAAAAAAAAAATAAATGTAAAAAAAGAGCATTCCTTCTGGAGAGAAACCAACAGAGAAAAGGAGGACATTATTGAAAAGAAGGGCCCAAAAAGTTTGGCAATTGTGGAGGTATTTCGTGTATTTAAAATCAGATGTAAAACAGAGTAGTGTGCACTGTAAATTATACAGAAGGCATATTCCTGGAAATACCACCAATCTTTTTTTACACAAAGGATTTAAAAAAAAAGTTTTTATTTTTATTCTGTTTAATTTGTAAAAATTTGTTTTACTTTTTAAAAGAAACTATATGAAAGAGTGAGACTCTTTTTTCATAGCATTTTTATTTGATACTGACGGAATTGATGTGTCCTTGTTACACTTGGAAGTGTTTAGATTTACATTTTCCCTTGTTTATTGCCTCACGATTAAAATATGATAGCATTTTATTTTATGTTGTCTTTGAAAGCTGCTTTAATGTGCACTGATTTTTCACAAAAAGTTTTTATTATTTGTCATGATGGGTACACTAGAGGTGACCCAAATATGCAGAACACCACTAGACGGACACTGGAGTAAAAGTTCAACAAGTTTATTTTGTCACAAAGCACACTGAATGACTGGTTCTGGTTCGGGCCTGGAATCTGGTTCATCGGAGTCTGCGTGAGAGACAGTTCAGTTAGCGTAGCACTCAGGAGCTTGCTTTCTTGATTGTTACTGATTGTACCTTGAGGGTTCTTGTAGGGAACTTTGAGAGGGTCACTGTTGGATCTGGAGAGGAGTTGATCAGCTGAGTCCGCTAGCTGCTTCAGCATCTTACTTATAGTTCTGAACGGACCTTGGCCTTGGGTTTTCCAGCTCTTAGTCCTGAGCTGCTTGGAAGTAGTGATGGGCTATCTGAAGCCAGGCTTCGAGGCTTGTACCGAGTAATAAGGGGGCGTGTCAATGAAGCCCCGCTTCGAGGCCTGTGTTGTCTTGTTGAAAACCACGTGACTGGCAACAAACGAGGCCTCGCATTGCATTGGTCACGTGACTGCTTCATTTTGCGTGTCGGTTTTCAAAATAAAAGCGCGATGAATCCTGTTGCTTCGTGGGTTGTAGTAGGTGGTTTGGTATCGGCAGAACAGTTTTCATCAGCAGTGGTTTAAATGGAGCCGTCAAAAAAGAGAAAAACCTCTAATATGTGGGAGTATTATGAGATGACAGATCACAATCACAATCTGAAACAGTGAAAAAAGTCCTATTCCTAAATAAAAATAATTAAACCTAAAATCCAGAAATTTCTATATTTTCTTTTGTTTAATCAGGAGATGCATCAGAATCACACATCAAAACCAGACTAAAAGCCATTAGAAGAGGCAAACTATGTGTAACTTAATATTAAGAATCAGAACTAGAACTCCTAGATGATTTTAAACAAATTCTGTCTTTAAGGAAGCAAGTTTCAAGCTCAAAGTTTCCAGAGTCTGCAGCAACAGTCACTCAGTTCTCAATACATTAAAGTAACACATATCTTCATTGTCTAATAAGTCCATGACATAAAAGAAAACCACTGATGGTCAAGGATTAGATTGGCTACAAATCATTTTAATCATTAAAACATGACAATTAAATAGGATTCTCCTCTTACTAAACATGAGTTTGATGAAAACTTTGTGACAATGTTGCATTTCCTAATATTTGGAAGTATGATCCAACTGAGTAACAAGGCTGTTACAGTTTCACCAGCAGATGTCACTAGTGAGTGATGAATGAAGCATCGAGTAATGAACTTTTTTCAACACTTTGCGTTGGAAAGCTTCATTGCTTCATGAGGCTTCACTTGCCCATCACTACTTGGAAGTTCACTGAGGTTCTTCAGGTTTGGCTCTGAGGGTCGGCTCGGCAGGTTAGCTCTTCCTGAGCTTCACAGAGGAGAAACAGGTTTCCTGGAAGACAGAGACAAGGGTTAGAATCCAGACTGGATTCAAAGTCACTAAGATTCTCAGAGAGTCTAGGCTTAGGCGCTGACCAACTGGATCAAAACTGCGGCGTTGAGGCAAGGTCTGAAGACAGCTTATATAGTGGATCCTCTGATGATCTGATGGGCTGCAGCTGTGCAGGAGGCTCACTCAGAAGGATCCACGGCGGACTCTGCTGGAGAAAGGTGGAACTTCTCCAGCTCCCAACATTATTATTATTATTCTGTTTTATTTCTTATTATTTAAAAAAATCTATACCAGGAAAGAATCATAGAATTTGCCTTTTTGTGTGTTCCTTCAGCACATCTGTTATGTTTAACAGAAAAAAAAAAATATTTAAATCAAACAATTCGATTTGATTTCACATCTCACTAATGAGCTACGGAACATTTAAACTTTACAAATATGGTGGGGGGGGGTTTTATATCGTGATATATATCAATATCGCCTGAAATGAAAAACAATATTGTGATATGTATAAATATTGTCCAGACCTATTTAAACCTAAAACAATTTGTTATTACCTTAGAATAAATGTAAGTTTTATTTATTGGAAACACAATTGGTTATGCAGCATACCCATACATTGCATATGAGTTCCCGATATAAACAGCCCTTTTTGCTACTGTTGTTGTTTGGTTTTTTTTTGTAAATTTCCAAACAATTATGCTTTACTTTGTGTTGTTAGTTAGATAAAATCGGGATAAGTTACATGGACATTTTAGGGAGTGACATAAAATATGAATAAATGTGAATGGTAGTGACTTTTACAAAGATAAATTTTGAAGCTTAAGTTTAAATTGAAATTGTAATCAAAACAAAATTATACACTAAAGCTCTGATATAGGCATATATTTCTCTAAATCTTGAGAATAACTAGTGAAGAATTAAAAATTCTAGAGTTCTTCCCTCCTTGTATTATTTAAAAGTTGTTTTTTAGATGTGTGTCATATTCTCTAAATAACTTGTTCTGGTTTCTTCATTTATTTTTCATTGGTTCTATTAGAAATAATTAACTATGAAAAATGTTGATGTGCTGAAAATTTATTTACCCAGTCTAAGGTCACAAAGTTGTGGTCTGTTACGCAGATCAGGAATAAAATTTTAACATTACCTCAGTCTCGCTTTTAAGTTCAAAGTTTTACCAAATCTTTACAAAATTTTCTTTACTGAACTTTCAACCTCAAATATCTATAAAAATATTTTTTTCAACAGAAAGAAAAGAAATCCTACAAAAGAGTTTTGCAGTGAACTCTATAAAACACTTTACAGTTAATCACACTTTTTGAGTTTCTGTGTTTTTGTAACTCAAAATATAAAGTTGCCCAATAAACTGTTACAATATTAAACATAAAATTTATGAAAAGTGATATAATGCTCTGATATACTCAATAAAATTATATAATGCTACATTTAAGAAGGTGAACTAGGCTGTTATTAATAATGCTACAGTCCATCCATCTTCTCTCGTTTATCTCTGGCAGTCAATAGGCAAGAAGGGGGTGTACAAACTGGACAGGTTGCCAATATGTTGCAGGGCAACACAGAGACACACAGAGTCATACATGATTACTCAATTTAGAGAAGCCAATTAAACTAACAGTTATGTTTTTGGACTGAGTGAGGAAGCCGGAGTACCCGGAGAGAACCAAGGCTTGCACAAAGAGAACATGCAAACTCCTGGCAGAGACCCCAGGCGGGAATCAAAACCAGGACCTAATTACTGCAAGGCAATAGTGCTAGGAACTGTGGAGCCCCAAGTATTACAGTTAAACACACAACCCTTTTCTTATATGGAGGACCTAGAGAGTCTCTGAAATAGATAACCAGCCATCTCATATTTAAATCATGCAATTTGAAATACAATTTGAAAAGCATCTTCTAATTACACATTTGAAATTAAATTATTAAGGAGAATTGTAAATTGTATTTATTAATCCATTATTACATACTGGAATTTCAAAATGTATTATCAAATCCTGTTTCTAAATTAAAATTTAAAAACAAAATTTATTAATCTGATTATAAATACCTTTCCTAATCACACATTTAAAAAGGTTATTCCATTTCCATTTTCTGTTGCCCTTCTGGTACCAGAGATCACTGGAAAGCAGTTTAACTCTCTCATTGTTGAGACTGACACATCTCGTTAACAAAATGACCAATGGGGGAGCTGGCTACATCTGAGATGCAACTGTGATTGGTTAAAATGGTTCTAGTGTGCTGAAAACCAGTTTACCTTTACTGTGACCCTTCTGGGGCCACAGTAAAGGTAAATGTCCAAGCAGAATCTTAAATGTCCAAGCAGAATCAAGAAAAATTGATTAATGCATTTATCTTAAGCAGAATTGATAACTGAAACAGAGTTTTCATAGGTTTGCCTTAAAAGTCGATCAGCCAGCTGCAGCTGATCCAAAACGCCACTGTCCGTGTTCTCACTAGAACAAAGAAAGTAGAGCACATCAACCCAGTTCTGAATTTCCAACACTGGCTCCCTGTAGCTTATAGATAATAAACAGACTTTAAAATCCTTCTGTTAGTCTTTAAATTATTGAATGGATCAGCATAACAGATTTGTTGTCAGTGTATCAACCCCCCAGACCGCTCAGGTCTTCTAGTCCAAGCCTACTCTGTCCACCCAGAACTAGAACCAAACATGGAGGAGCAGCATTTAGTTCCTATGCTTTATAATCAGATTTATCAATTGTGTTTTTAAAATTTTCTTTTAGCAGTAGGATTTGAAAATACATTTTCAAATTGCACTTTTTAATAATGGATTAATAAATACAATTTATATACAATTATTTTATAATTCAATTTAAAATGTGTAATTATAAAATACTTTTCAAATTGGATTTCAAATTGCATGATTTAAATATTAAATTTGAAATGGCAGGCTTTCTGCCTCCATGTCAGAAAAGGGTTGTGTGGTTTTCATTAAAATATCAATTTAAAATGTAATTAGTCACATCTTATTAAGTGAATTAAGAGAGCTTAGTTTACCTTACAAGAACCATAATTTAATACCAATGGAAAATGTATTTAGAGTTTTAACTGTAATAATGTTTTTTTAAAAGTTCATGTTCTTAAGGGTAGCATCAAATTATTTAATTATACCAGTGCATTATTTCACTGCTATTCTTATAACCTTCATGTTTAATATTCCTATAATTTAAGCTTACTTAAGTTCTTTAAGTAGGATGGTGTACCAGCACCGTACTAAAGGTCATTGCAAGTCTTTTAGTGCAACCACTCGCTAATCATTATAAATGTATCAAAATGTTTTATTTTATTAAGGCACATTTTTATATCACTATGAACTCTACATTATGTAGTTTCATCAGCCAGCAGTACCTGCTCACATATCCATAAACTTGACAACAAAATCCAAATACTTTTACAGCTTTTCCTCCCTTTGCTAATCGATTAAACTTTCAGAATCAGAAGGTTCCTCAAAGAATTCATCTTTTTTTCAGATTTAAGCCAGGTAAAACTAAAACTTTTCCACTTGACGAGTTTTGAATAGAGCATATTGATTGACAAAACAAGTTTTTTTGTTTTTGTTTTTATGGTCTTAAATACTAAATATAGTTTTTCTCTTTTACAATTTTGGCATAATTACTACTCCCTGTGGGTTGCTCTGTCAGCTAAAGGAATTATTTAGAGTCTTTATGATCCAGTTAACTATAAATAAATTACTAAATTAGTTGATGATCATTTCAATAATCGATTAATCACAATTGATTGTTTCAGCCCTAATCTATTTCTTCTTTTATTTTACATTTCATCTTAGACTCTTCCTCTTACCTTTGCACCTTTACTGGTGATAACTGACTCGCTCAGCTTGTTTGAGCTCAACTCTACCTGTTTACTTATTCAGAACATGTGCAATATCCTACCATCACTCATTTCGTCTTTTTTTGGCAAAAGCTTTGATTAATAACAAACACTCTTTCGTATCCCTAATAAATGAATGTATACATACATATACATGTGTGTGGTAGTGTGTATTGGCAGTATAAGGTATTAGCCATATCAAGTATGTGAATGTTTCACTCCAGGCTCTCATTGTTGAAAACTTGCTTGTCCAGAGCCCACTGTTGCAGGGCTTTAATGTTAATGATGTGTGAAATAGTGTTTACTTGCATACAAGGATTCACGCTCTGGCTGCCAGTCTATCTACCCTTCGGTGTGATTCAAAACCCACTTTAATCATATTACTGCCACCTAATGAGCTTTATTGAGAAAATCAGTGTCTACTCATGGTAAATGTGACCCCAACTGAGTTCAGAATTTTGGATAAACTGTAATTAAATTGCAAATGCAAATAATTATAAATTCCTATTTAGAACTTTTTCTTTTTTTTTGGGGGGGGGGGTTATACATTTAAATTACAATATACATTATAAAATATATCACCTAATTTTAAGACTACTGCAATAGATGTATGCAATTTTGTTCCTTTCTCTAAATGTATGAAAAAAATCATTTGTTATCATTGCTTGTTCACTCTGGGGTCTAATGCAGCTTTTTTCTGAAAAGATTTATTGTTTTGGCTCTGTTTTTCTGCAGGTGGCTGGTGCTGGCAATCACAATGATGCGCTTTTACATCCAGAAAGGCACACATAAGGGTCTCTATAGAAGTATAGCACGGACCCTCAAGTTTTTCCAGACCTTTGCATTAGTTGAGGTAAGAATTGGTAGTATGAAAAATATATTTACGAGGAAAGAGACAGTTAGCTCTAATTACTACCCTCTGCTTCATTCAGGTCCTACATTGTGCTGTCGGTAAGTGAAGATTGACTTATTTTCTTTTAAATTTTTATTAATCTGAGCCCATATTATGCATTCCAGTTTATGCGCTAGTCTTGAATTTATTTCTTATGGCTCTCCGATAGGAATTGTGAGGACTTCTGTGATTGTGACCGGGGTTCAAGTGTGCTCCAGAATTTACATGGTTTGGTTTATCACTAGTAGCATCAGACAGGTAAATATTACAAGTTCTTTGCAAAGAGAATATCTACAAATTCTATTTTTGTATCTCTGTGTTAGAACCTACATACCACAGTCATGGCTAAAAGTTTTTTGCTTTTTTTTTTGGTTTTCCATTGTAGAAATGTTTTGTTTTTATAGCGCATATATTATTACCACCAAGCCAACTCCCTTGGTTAACAGACAATATTAGAGATTAGGTCACATTTACTAAGATTAACTTAAAAAAACGTATGGAAGAGCTTTTCATTCTGGACAAATACAGAATACATATGGGCAACTGTTATTCTATTGGTCTGATCTTTAAAGCTTCAGATTAAGAGGTGCAAATCTATGTGCAATTATTTTGTAGTATGTGCAGTAAGTGGTTGTGTTGCAGGTCATCTACAAAGGTAGTTGCACAATTGTTAAGACAAATAAACTGATTTGGTTCCACCCATTGAATTGAGAACATTGTGCGTTCTATAGACAGATTAGGAAGTAGCCATCAAAGAAAAATGTGGGGTTGGAGGTAATAATAATCATTTTAAAAAGACATAGTAGTGATAATACAGTATAAGTAGTGAATAATATTTATAGTGCACCTTGTAACATAATCTCAAAGTGCTACGATCAAAAGTAAAATAAAATAAAACATAACCACACCTCACATCATTAAATTTCAAAAACTTTTAAACTAAAAGAAAACTTATTTTATTAGCTTAAATATTAAAGTGTTCTTATATATATATATATATATATATATATATATTTTTTTTTTTTTTTTTTTATTGCTTTTCAAATGATAACCTAACAGAGCCATCCCTCATCAGTCTACCACCCTTATGTCTTTATTAACTCCTTGCTGTCATGTGTAAAAATCTTCTTTATTTGCCAAGGACTTGCATAGCAGAAACACTTCCCTTGATTTCAAAGCTTAGGGACTTTTACAACAAGTGTTGCAATCATCAAAATATAGCGACTATGTATTTTTTTGCCATCAACGTCCAACAAATTTTATTGGTCTGAGATTAATTAAATTAAAAGCTTGGTTATTGGTTTACGAAAATTAGGTTATGACCTCTAATTTTGCAAAACTGCCATTTCTCATTTTACTCTCAGAACTGTTAATAAAAACAAAATCAAATGTTTCGGTATCCCTTCCTTCCTTCCTTCCTTCCAAACTCAGTATTGTTGGCAACTCAACCCAACAGTGATTAAATGTTCATTTATTCTCTATTTCTGAACAGCTGGTCACTGATTTATGACATTCAATTATATGAAATGGGAGGATTTTGATAATCTCATTTGCCAGTCAAACTTGGTTTTCTAGAAATAAAAATGTACATCAATTGGAATTAAACTTTTGAATACTTCTTTACAATTACCAGTGAAGCAATCAAGTATTTGCAGCCAGCAAACCTAAAAGATATCTTTAAGCTCAACACTGAACACTATAACAGATTAAACCTGTACATTTTGTTGAAGATCCAGAATGAAGAAAGTGTACTCCTGTTCCTTGTTGTGTGGACGGTGACAGAGATTACCAGATATTCTTACTACACATTCAAACTGCTCCACCACCTGCCGTACTTCATCAAATGGGCCAGGTAGAGACGCTGTCAGTGTGGTCGACTCTAATGATCTATGATTAGAGATAATTAGAGTTGACTTTTTGCAAGCATGGGGGTCTGAATTGGTAATTTTACCTTGTGTGTGTATTAGTAATCAACCACCTCTTAAAAAGGGGTCACGCATGTTTTTTTTAGCATTTTAACAGGGGTTATTTGTCACTTAGAAGAATCTTAGAAGAGATCCATTGCATGTGTTTTAAACATTATTCTGTCACATATTTGAACATTTGCATCCCTAACTGTCACCAGGTAGAACCTATAATGCAGGAAAGCTACCGGTTGCAGTGAGAAGTCATGCTTTCCCTCTGCTGTACGTGAGCACATGATGTGGAGATCTGGCCTCACTGTAGCCCACCTGAAACTGGAGACGTTTGAGGGAACTTCAGACGCTGACATTAGTGTTTTGACACTGATAGTGGTCCAAATGAACTGATCTTGCTCACTGAGAAAGCCACCAACCATCTGTAGCAACAGTCTACCGAGCAATTTCCTACCCATTAAATCTTTGCACATTTAATTACATCACAGCCACAGATTTGTGTGCATTTTACTAGCGTTTGGGATTGCAGACCAACAGCAAGCAGCATGTAGTTATTTTGTTGGATAATTTTCCTGTTCTTATTAACCTCTCATTAAAAATAGTATGTCAGTTAATGCATTCAATAATTTACAAACATTTGCTGACGACCTTCTAGTCCTTGGGGGTTGAAGACCTTGCCACCATGATAAGCTTTAGCTCACTTCACAGATTCTCAATTGAATAGCAGTTAGAACTCGTTTGGCCAAAACTGTAGAAACTTACTGTAGAAATAAAAGAATACATTTAACTCAAATCAAGCTGAGGCTCTGGGTTAAAATGTACCTTGACCATAATGGCTGTATTTTCAGATTAAGGTGCTTGGATAGCCAAGCATTTCTATAAATCAGTTGCATGCCAATATCTGTCACACTGTGCTGATTTATTTTGTTAAAATGTTGAAAGCCACAATATTTTTTTCATTTTACAGTTTGTTTTACATTGTGTCTCTCTCCTGAAAGACACCAAACATATGTAGCACTATTTAAAGTGTAAAAGGACCAGATGGAAGAAAATCAGAAGACTAGAATTCGTCTACTGGAGCCGTTGTCAGTAATCAATAAACAACACAAAATAACTGCCTTCAATACCATGTATTAGACAAATTTAAAGTAAACAATACAAGACAACATACATAGAACCCAAAATAAATACAAAAAAATATATATACACAGTACTGTGGTAATCCTTTTGTTTGTGCACAACTGGTCTTAAATTCCCCGCTGATCAGTCCAGAGTCTGACCCGACACACATTCAGAAATCCATGGTTGGATTATCCAGATATTTAAGTTGAAGAATGTCCCAGCGCAAGTTGTTTCAGATGAAGAAGTGAATAATGGAGTGTATGCCTGAGTGGTGAGATGGAGGGGGGAAATGATACAGACCAGTCCACTGTGGAGTGATTCTTAAGGCTCTCCTGGCTCCAGCCAGTTTTCAGAAGCTCGCCATCTTTTTCCCTAAAAAGGGATCACCTGGCCTGTATTAAAATAAACAGGACCAGTAAATTTCCAGCCGGCTAGTTAACTAGACTTTTCAGTTTCACACAGAAATAAATGCAAAATCTAATCTATCAGACCAAATAAAGAACATTTATCTCATCATCTTAAAGTTAGATTACAACAATTGATCACACTTAGCATTTGCTGCCACCAAAATGCTAAAACAACAACATTGTGCTCTCTACTCACCAATTCCAATAAAAGATGAGAGTATGGCAGCTCCAAGGCTCCAAACTCACTGGATTTCTCGGATCTACATGATTTTTATATTGTGAGGTTAAACAGTGCATTACAAACAAAGAGAAACTGATTGTTTGGGAACACCAACCTGTAGCTCCTTTGTCTCCAGCTCTCCCCCTCACATCTGACTGGGGAAAGCTGGAGCAAGCCTAAATAATTGCCTCAGGTGTGTCAATTGGCTGCATGCACTGTGTGACTGACTGTCACTCTAACCAATGGGGCAGTAAGGCGGGACTAAGGGCAGTTTTCACCCTGGGTTACACCCTCCCCCCTTTAAATCATGCACGTCCCGTGACATGTAAACATTAAACAATGTGAACATTGCTGGAAGTGGTGGGTGTCAAAACTAAAGCATCAGACAAACTGTGCAATAAAGTTTGAACAACTGAAATAAGCGGATTGCCTAAAGTAGTATATTGAAGCCGTTTAGGCGCCACTCTGTGACGTGTTGATCGTCTTAGAGAAATGTCATCAATTTGATTTATGCCATCAAGGTTTGGGGATCTGTTCAAAGAAATTTCAGAATCAGGAACAGGAACAGTTTCACCAACGGGGCTGCCTGGATCAGGTAAGTCTTCAGGATGAGGTGGAACTTGTTCTGCAGAAACATCAGGTTGCTCTTTGACACTAGATTCTGGTTCAATTGATTCCACTTCAACAACTGACTTCAAACTCTCAGAATCTGAAAGAATTTCAACAGGTTGTTTTTCCACTGTAGAAACTGTGGGGACAACAGAGTTTTCTTCATCATCAGGAGGTGATGACTGTCTGAGTGGTTTCTCCATTTTAAATTCTAATGGAGGTGGAACTAGATAGAATGGAATCTCTTCTTGCTCACAGTTCTCACCTTCTGCAGAGTCCTCAGAAGATTCTTGACATTTCTTGGTGTGTTGACGTGTTTGGGGTTTTGTGACTGGAACTGTCTCAGTTGGTCTTTCAGCATCTGTCATGGGGAGAAAACCACATGGAAGAAGAAGGTCTCTGTGTAGAGTGCGTAGTGGGCCATCTTTGCACTCTGGTTTCACCGTATAAACTGGGAGATCCCCAGCACACTTCACCACTACAAATACATCTTGCTCCCATTTATCACAGAGTTTGTGTTTACCTCTGAGTCTCACATTCCGCACAAGTACTCGGTCTCCAACTTCCAGCTTGGATGGTAGAACTCGCTGATCAAACCGAGTCTTGTTTCTTTTAGCACTTCTGGCAGAGTTCTTTGATGCTATTTGATAACTCTCTTTCAACCGTGACTTCAGGTTCTGTACATACTGCGAATGTGATGGACATTTCTCTTCACAGATAGGAAGACCAAAAGCAAGATCAATCGGGAGTCGAGGACAGCGTCCAAACATAAGTTCATAAGGACTATATCCTGTCACTTCATTTCTGGTACAATTGTACGCATGAACGAGAGGTTTAACATATTCTTTCCATTTTGACTTCTGTTTTGGTTCAAGAGTTCCCAACATTGCTAAGAGTGTGCGGTTAAACCTTTCTACAGGGTTTCCTCTGGGATGGTATGGTGTTGTATGACACTTTTTAATTCCTGTCATAGCACACAGCTCTTTTATCAATTTGGACTCAAAATCAGATCCTTGATCTGTATGTAGTCTTTCTGGAATTCCAAAATAGATAATGAAATTGTCCAAAAGACATTTGGCAACCGTTCTTGCCTTTTGATTCGGTGTTGGAATAGCAATGGCAAACTTGGTGAAATGATCTGTCAACACGAGAATGTCTTTGGTATTGCTGGTATCAGGTTCAAGACTGAGAAAATCCATACAAATGAGCTCCAGTGGGCGTGAAGTCCGAATGTTAACTAGTGGAGCAGCTCTCTCTGTCAGAGTCTTTCGACGAACACAACGTCCACATGCTTTTATTTTCTGCTCCACATACATAGCCATTCTAGGCCAATAGAATCGAGCTCTAACAAGATCCAGGGTTCGCTCTATTCCCGGGTGGCCCATGTCATTGTGAAGACTATGAAGAACAGATTCACGGAGGTCTGCTGGAAGGACCAGTTGATATACATGTTGCTCATTTTCTTGCCGTTTCCTGTAAAGAATGCCATCAATCATCTCCAGTTTTGTAAATTCTCTAAGGAGAAGATGAAGTTCTGGAAGTTCACTCCTGACTGTTGGGGGAATTTTTTCACCTGACTCCAACTGATGGATAATTTCCCTGACAGTAGGATCAGCTCTCTGATGATCTTTTAGGTCAGAATGAGACATTGCAGGAACAACAGGAAGTCCATGTGCCTCTTCAGAGTAATCCACAGGAATGACATCTGCCCTGACAGAGAGTGATTCAACCAAAAGACTTTCAACTTGGGTCCGAACCAGACGACTTTGGCAGATTGCATCCATCACTTCAGATGACATCTCATTGTTGCTGTTGTCTAAAAGATGTTGTTGAGCAAACTGAGAGATGAGTTCCTGATCTTTATGTGCAACCTCATCTATGACAGGATTTTCACAGGGACGACGAGAGAGTGCATCAGCATCCTGGTTGTGTTTCCCTGCTCGATACTGCAACTTAAAGGAGAAAGTAGAAAGTGCAGCCAGCCAACGATGACTGGTAGCATCCAGCTTAGCTGAGGTTAGGATGTAAGTAAGTGGATTATTATCAGTAACAACTGTAAAATTTGCTCCATACAAATAATCTTGAAACTTTTCTGTTACACTCCACTTCAGTGCTAAGAATTCAAGTTTATGAGCTGGATAACGACTTTCGCTGGCTGACAACCCTCGACTAGCATAAGCTATTACCCTGAGCTTCCCCTCATGTTCCTGGTATAGGGCAGCACCCAGTCCAGTGGTGCTGGCATCTGTGTGAAGGATGTAAGGTAGTGCAGGATCAGCAAACCCCAGGACCGGTGCAGTAGTAAGTTTGTCGATCAGGGTATCAAAAGCCAGCTGACACTCAGAAGTCCACCTGGAACCAAAAGGTTGCTTTGGATCAAACTGTGGGCACTTAGAAGATTGTACTCTTGAGGGTTTATTAGTTGGGGGGTACCCACGGGTCAAATTGTTAAGAGGCTTGGCAATAGTGGCGTATCCTTTTATGAAACGTCTATAATAGCCAGTAAATCCCAGAAAAGATCTTAAAGATTTCAAATTAGTAGGAATTGGCCAGGATTTCACTGTGGAAATCTTTTCTGGGTCTGTCTCAACACCTTTTTCTGAAACTATATGACCCAAGTATCTGACAGAGGTTTGGAAAAATTTACATTTTTCCAAAGAAAGTTTTAATCCAAACTCTTTCAGACGATTTAGAACTCTCAGCAGACGGTTTTCATGTTCTTCAAGACTGTTTGAGAATATGATCAAGTCATCCAAAAAAACCAATACCTCTTTCAAATGCAGGTCACCCATACATTTCTCCATCAATCTTTGAAAGGTTGATGGTGCATTTGTAACCCCCTGAGGCATTCGGTTAAACTCCCAAAACCCAAGTGGAGTAACAAAAGCAGTCTTAGCTTTATCTGCTTCATTCATTTCAATCTGATAATAACCAGATTTCAGATCTAGCACTGAAAACCACTTTGATCCTCTGAGAGCTGTAAATGATTCTTCCAGGTTGGGCAAAGCATATGCATCTTTGACAGTTTGTAAATTAAGTTTACGGTAGTCAATGCACAGTCGAATGTCTCCATTTTTTTTCTTAACAACAACAATTGGAGATGAGAAAGGGGATTCAGATTCTCTGATAACACCAGCATCCAGAAGTTCACGTAAGTGTTTGCGAACAGCCTCTATATCTTGTGGGTGAATCGGTCTCGCACGATGTTTGAAAGGAGTATTATCATGAAGATTAATGTGATGTTTCACTTGCTTGGTACATCCAAAATCTAAATCATGATGAGCAAAAACTTCAGGTACAGCATTTAACTTTGTTATGATTCTTTCCTTCCATTCTGATGGTATTGGAGACTCACCAAAATTGATTTTCAAAGATGCTGTTGATGTTTTCTCAGCCATGTGGTTGGTCACATTATGCTCTGAGATGATACCTGCATAGGCTTCCAGTTCAGCAATGATACTTAAAGCTGGTATGGAAATGACTTGCTTTGTTTCATTGGAAACAGCAACTGGAACCTTATTGAGTGAGTCAGCTTGAAGTGCAACCAGACAGCTACTGACAACCAGGCCACCCGGCAGGCCTGAAACCGGGTGCCGAACAACAGCACACTGACTGGCTGTAGAAGAGAGCTTGGCACGACCCTCGACCACCATTGTGCAACCAGCTGGAATAAGTACAGGAGTTTTACTATGGAGAGTCACAACACCCAAATGATTGCCACAGTTCTGCTGATGCATTAACTGATGCAGAACTGTTTTAAACCCGTATGAGGTAGGTTGGAATGTGGGACAATCACTGGAACAAAACTTTTCATAGAGAATTTCAAGTGTATTCATCCCAATTAGTACTGAAGCTGGAAATCCGGGTCTCACATCAGGAACAACCAAAGCAAGGGTTTCAACTGTTAGTTCACTCCCAATAAAGTCTTTTGGAAAAGTTATTGGTATTTCAACATAACCCAAATATGGAACTTGTTGACCTGCAGCCCCTTCAACATGAAGTAGGTCATTTAATGAATGCACTGGATGATCTGAGAGATGCTCATTGAAGAAAGAAACTGGAATTGTAGTGACTTGAGAGCCGGTATCTAGAAGACATTGAGAGCTGTGGCCAGCAATATTGACTTCTGCTGTACATCTGGATCCGATTAATCCTTTTGGTAAGTTAATTTTGGTTTTTGTCTGCATCTTTGCACACTTAACAGACTCTCTCTCTGTAGGACAAAGTTGGTCCAGCTCAGTTCCTGTTCGTCCCTCAACAGGAACTGGAACTAGTTTAAATGTGCTGTAGGAGAGGGATTTTGTCCCTGTCTCTTCTGTTTGTCATAAAATATTTTCCACTTTGCACTGACCAATGCTGAATTGGGCTCATTATCACATCGAGGCTTGATATGGCCATCCTCCCCACAACGGAAACAAAACCCAGGTTTAGAGCTAGACATGCCGAATTTTACATCTTTAACAGTCTTTTTCACAATAGGCTTTGAAGTAACTCTTCCAGCAAAAGGTAGCTTAGTGCCCATTTGACCTGCTGTTAAAGCAGTGAGCTGCTGCTGTATTGCAGCCATCTGTTGTGAAAGCTGTTTAGTCATGTTATTCAGAGCAACACACAAGTTAGTTTCCTGATCAGTATGTGCAAACTGGACCTGAGACGCAACCTTCTGTTTAGTGGTTCCCAAATGATGCTTCATCCTCAAGGTCTTTGCTGCTTCCCTGTCCTCTTCAGTTCTCAGTAACAACAAAAGCTCAGCAAATGATGGTGGATTATTTTTTCTCTGTTTAAGTTGAAGTTCTGAGATTAAATTGTTGTCCCAGCACCCTCTGCAGAATTGGGTCAACAGTCGTGCATCCATGTCCTTCTCCAAATCACCTCCTCTCTTTACTGCACTCTGTAATACAACCTGCAGACGCTGCAAATAGGCAGACGGCTTTTCTCCACTGTCCTGATAGGTGTCCATGAATTTAACATACAACTCCTCTCCATCTTGAACAGTTCCATAAGCTGAATCAAGTTGTTCCAGGTATACTTTTGGTAATGTGTCAGGACTCAAATGTTTCACTATATCACAGGCAGGTGGAAGTAAACTGTCACGAATTATTCTGGTACATTGCAGCTGTGACATAGAGGGATCTTGAAGAACTAATTCAACACTTGAACGCCATGTGTCATAGTCTGTCTCATGACTTGGCCTGGGGACTTTTCCAGAGAATGCTCTCAGTCTATGGGATGTGTGCATATGCAGAGAGCTGTCCCCACTCCTAACAACATGCTCCACAACGTACCGTTGCACCTCAGGAGGATTAAGATCACCAGCGGAAATGGGTGTGGACCGCCTCTCCTGACTTGGCACTTCAGCTCTGTTGGAGACAGCAGAGCTGGATGGGAGAGGAACTGACTGTGAGAGGGATGACAGAGGAAAAGGGAGTTGAGTTGTGGCATGAGCTGATGGCTGCTGCCCTCCATCTTCATCTGCAAACTGTTCCTCTTTTGCCTTCTTTAGCACCACAGGACAGAACTCTGCAATAGACTGCTGTATCTGGGACATCACTTCTGTGAGGACTTGAGTGTAATTTTTTCCAGACAATTTGGCAATTTCTTGTAAATCATCCAAATACTTGTTTGTCTTTAAACCACCAACCTTTGAGGCATAAATCTCAGATAAACTTTCAATATGAAATTTATCACCCACACTTGATGTAAATGTATATGGTAATATTGGAGATAAGCGTGCTAAAGACAACCCAGAATCAAATTCAACAACCAACATTTGATCAAATTCTGATTCAGATGAATCAATGGTAAGTCTCTGCTTGATATCACCATACTGTTCAAGAAAAGCAATAAGTTCATCAGTGGGGTTCTCTGGGACTCCATCAATCAATACTGTGTTAGGGATTTTTAGACCAAGGGTTTCAAAAACCTCCATAATGGAAATTGAATTGGTGAGTAGGAACCTTATTTGTGCAACTTTGCTCAACTGTTTTCTATTGATTACTGATCAAAACAGCTCCTGGCTAGCTCGCCAATAATGTAGCACTATTTAAAGTGTAAAAGGACCAGATGGAAGAAAATCAGAAGACTAGAATTCGTCTACTGGAGCCGTTGTCAGTAATCAATAAACAACACAAAATAACTGCCTTCAATACCATGTATTAGACAAATTTAAAGTAAACAATACAAGACAACATACATAGAACCCAAAATAAATACAAAAAAAATATATATACACAGTACTGTGGTAATCCTTTTGTTTGTGCACAACTGGTCTTAAATTCCCCGCTGATCAGTCCAGAGTCTGACCCGACACACATTCAGAAATCCATGGTTGGATTATCCAGATATTTAAGTTGAAGAATGTCCCAGCGCAAGTTGTTTCAGATGAAGAAGTGAATAATGGAGTGTATGCCTGAGTGGTGAGATGGAGGGGGGAAATGATACAGACCAGTCCACTGTGGAGTGATTCTTAAGGCTCTCCTGGCTCCAGCCAGTTTTCAGAAGCTCGCCATCTTTTTCCCTAAAAAGGGATCACCTGGCCTGTATTAAAATAAACAGGACCAGTAAATTTCCAGCCGGCTAGTTAACTAGACTTTTCAGTTTCACACAGAAATAAATGCAAAATCTAATCTATCAGACCAAATAAAGAACATTTATCTCATCATCTTAAAGTTAGATTACAACAATTGATCACACTTAGCATTTGCTGCCACCAAAATGCTAAAACAACAACATTGTGCTCTCTACTCACCAATTCCAATAAAAGATGAGAGTATGGCAGCTCCAAGGCTCCAAACTCACTGGATTTCTCGGATCTACATGATTTTTATATTGTGAGGTTAAACAGTGCATTACAAACAAAGAGAAACTGATTGTTTGGGAACACCAACCTGTAGCTCCTTTGTCTCCAGCTCTCCCCCTCACATCTGACTGGGGAAAGCTGGAGCAAGCCTAAATAATTGCCTCAGGTGTGTCAATTGGCTGCATGCACTGTGTGACTGACTGTCACTCTAACCAATGGGGCAGTAAGGCGGGACTAAGGGCAGTTTTCACCCTGGGTTACACATACAGCTCACTACAACAGAGAGACATTATTCCTCTCACTGTTTGTTACATCCTTTATGATTCTAACTGCAAGAAGCCTGTTCTATTACCTCTCCCAAGTAGGTTATGTTTTTAGTCGAGATTTTTTGTCTGACTGCCTGTCTTTGTACAGGAGAACTTGAAAAGTTATGATTGAATTCTAATAAGATTTTTACTAAAGGCGCATCTCAGTCGAATGAATGGTCCATTACATGTTGGTAATGATCCACATCATAATCCGGATGTTTGAATTTTTGAAATGGTTCTTTAACATTATTTGGTGGAACAAGCAGTTCCCTCCTTAAACCAGAGGGAGGCCAGCAGTGACTATTGACAGATTCTTCATTTAAATTCAAAAAAGTCCAGAAGAATTTTACCGAAGACAAAAACACAGGAAAGGTGGGCCAGGCCTTGTTCGCAGTCTCTGCTGTCTAAAATAACACAGCAGAGTGAATAAAAAAAAGTAAGAGCAGGGAAAACACCAGAGGCTGCAGATACAAGCTGTGCCTTATTTATAATCTTATGAAAAGATTTTAAGGAAATTGCTACCAAAGGTGCACCTCATGCCAAAGTTTTAGCCATAGGTGGAAGTCACAATGTGGGGCAAAATTTACAGCTTTGTGACTCTGTGATCTCCAAGTACTCTTCTAGTTTTATATATCTTTTCGGGGCCAATCCAAGTCTTTGCAACCCATTTGTTCCATCTCTCACCCTGAGAAAAGGTTCTGCTCTCCTCCTCCCTTGTCCACCCACACTCGTCAGATCTTTGTTTAAGCGTGGAAGAGCCAGGCCCCTGGAGGAGGGCTCATGTTCAGCTGCTCCCATTTTTAAGACCTTCTGTTTTGGTCATGGAATGTTCAGTAGACTTTTTTCTCTCATCCGCAAAGACGCTCCCCTGAGTCCTTGCTAGTAGACCCCACTGATCTCAGACATCCCGGGTCATGCCAAGTTGTACTAGAGTGCACTGAAGTTGGTACATTTGCCTACAAATGTAAATATTGACAGTTCCTCAGGTTTTCTCAAGGTTTTCATTTGAAATTATTTTTTGTTCCTGAACATTGAAACATATTGTGCAACGTGTGTGTGTGTCTGCAAATGATGGAAATGTGGAAGAGAGGATAAATGGCACCACTAAAATAATTATTGCCAGCAGAAAAAGTGTTGATACAACCTAGCTCGAAAGCAATTACAAAGAAAGAGAAGACACAACACCTAAACAACTTAAAGCATTTTTAAAGGAATTATTTTACAAATAAAAATAAACTGTATGTTGTTAATGTAAATGTAATTATAGGTGTGTGCGGGAACTGTGAGTTAGACAATGTAAAATGTAAAAAGTAAGGAGTTTATTTTAATTTAATTAATAGACTCACAGGAAGTAGCACTTTATTGTGAAGTGGAACAAAATTATAAATGTGACAAATATTTGCTCTCAGCCTTCAGTGGCCAAAGTTTTACAGTAAAACCTTTGGATGCTGTTGCTGATCTAGACTATTCACTATGTTCCTATAAGCTTTGCTCATGTAGTGACTGATTTATTTTCAGATTTGCCAAATTCATTCATTGTATACCAATTTCACAGTCTTGTTCTCTGTTTAATTTAGCTCTACAGTATCTGGCATCTAAATTTGGCCCTTCCTAGACATTATTATTCTCCTAATCTAATCCACTCCAGTGTAGTTTAGGCACCACGTTAAGATTTATTGTCCTGCTGAAAAGTAAAGCTCTGCCTAAAACCTCTTATGTTTAGCCTCCAGTTACATTTTCTTTCCAGAATTGCCCCGTATTTAGCTTCATGAACTGTATCTGGACATGAACTCCAACATGTTTTTCTGTCCTTGCTAAACAAACAAAAAAAAAGATTAATCATACTGCTGTTACCATCTTGTTTTAATTCAGCGTTCAGAAGGATTTGCAATGTCTAAAACAGCCTTTATAAAGGCATTCTGTATAGTTTCAACTGTGACTAAGTTAAATACTTAACATGCATCCAGTCAAGGGCTCTGTTCGAAAACCTAGGACGCATCCTTAGAAGACCGGATTCGAAGGCCGATTACGTCATAGCGCGGCGCCGAGGCCTGGTCGGATTCCAAGAGTCCTCGTTATGCGGCCTTAAAATGCGTCCTTCTTTTTGCCCGATTTGAAGGACGGGTCTGATGTATCCTCTGTATTCTTGGATATCCCAGGATTCATTAGGAGACCAAGCAAGCTGTGATCAGAGGAAAGGTTACTTGGCGCCGAACAGTGGTGAAAATTGGAAGTTCAGTTTAATATAATACAACTCTGTGAATAGTTCCGTCTGAAATGAATGAAAATAGTTGTTTTAATGGTTATTGAGTCAGATATGTGGCGGTAATGTTTGATTTATCTAAAGGTTTTAATCTGTTACTGTGTAAATGGGTTTGGCTGTAATTTAAGGACAGATTCTAATAAATTTGCAGGGTGGGGACTATAAATCTGATAGGAGTTTTATCTTTTTATTGCTATTTTGCACAATATGCTTAACTTCGTATTTTTGTTGTTGAATATTAGAGATTTTGCAGATATATTTTTTATAAATATATTGTTTAGATTTACTTATATCTTTCTACCCCTTTTATAGAATAGAATAGAAAATCCCTTTATTTTCCCACAATGGGAAAATGTACTAACCTGACAACAGCCAGATGCATGTCTCGCTCCGCCTACTATAGGCTGGGCGGAGCGAGACATGCATCTGGCTGTTGTCAGGTTAAAAATTTACAGCAGCAGAAAGATTATTGAAAATGGTCACACAAATGTGGACCTTAGAAAAATGTATAAGAATAACATAATAGTGAAGAGTTAAAATATAAACAATAAAATACTGTAAAGTGTTTTAACAATATAAAACTGGGGAATAAATAACCAATATGCAGCTATGGACATTTTTACAGTAATGGATATTTGAAAATAGCAGCAGCATCAGAGATGTGCAAAATGACAGCAACATGTTATTTAACTGACTAAGGTTTCTATCATTACATTTGATTTTATTTGTTCCTGCTCCCGGCTGTTGGAACCTTTATTCCACTCTGGATTCTTGTGAGTGTAGTCTTTGTTCACTTCAAAATAAAAAATAAATAAATAAACAGTTTTGAAAACTTCTGTATTCATTCTCTTCCTGCTTTGTGTGTCAACGTTCACGGTTGCTAAGCAACAGAGCATACAGCGGTAAAACCCGCCGAAGGGTAGACCTGGTCGAATTTACAGCCAAAACTCTTCCTGGTCTCCTTATTTTCAAGGACTTCGAAGTATCCAGTCTAGGTAGACCGCGTCCTTGGAGGACCCGTCCTAGGTTTTCGAACAGAGCCATAGTGTGGTTATTGTTGTAAACTGTTGTCTGAGGTCAAATTACAGTCACAGTCTGATCCTGTAGCATGAGTAGCTATTAAAGAGTGCCAAACCAAATCTCTCTACTGCAGCTTCCTGTTAAGCTGCCGGTCAGTCCATGTGTGGCACAAATCATATTTATTACGAACCAAAGCTGATCATCTTATTAGGCTTTCTATATTTGCTAACCTGGCATGTTGATAAGCATTACACCAATAATCAAATCTTGGCTATATTTTCCCCCATTGCTGAACGTGCACTGTTGTCTCAGATAACATTTTCTGTCTGAATGCATGCCACAGTGTCTCAGGTCTGAAAGGAGTGTTTACACTCTGTCTTAGTTTGGTTTGTTGGAACTTTATATCAGAGGAGAGACATTTCAGCTCTTCCACACACAAACACAGCATTTTATTCGATCAGATAGAAAAGATTATAATTGATCAATTTTAGATTTAAACATAATCATTTCTATGTACCTCCAGGACCTGAACCAACTGATTTTAGTATATATGAACTACAGTTTGCCTGGACCTATTGATTATTTGCTTCTTAATCTGTTTCTGGTTAAACTTAAGTTTAACATCACAAGGCTGTTGACCTGCTTTCAACTTTCAACAGTGTTCTCTGTTTAGCTCTGGATAAACAGCAGCTGGTATCCTTATTGTATTTGTTGTTAAAAGGTGGGATCTATCTAATGCATGGTTTCTTTTAACATTGACTTGTAAGAGCAAAAAAAAAGGTATAACCATAATGATTTGAGTGAATTTAGCAAAGGCAAATTTATGGTGGCTAGCCGATTGGGTCAAGCATTTTTAATTCTGCTTCTGTGGAATTTGCTTGAGCTGCTGAAGGCAGCATCAATCAGAATGGTCCAAAGAAATAAAGTCGGATAAAAGGGAACCTTGTTATGAGAGACCAATGGATTATTAATGGGCATTGGCTGCATTGCAGTTGGTGGTTATGGCGACGCATAAACATTGAACCCTGCCCACTGCCCGAAGCACCAGCAAAGAACAAAGGACCATCAGATATGGACCAATGAGTAATTAAACAAGATGGTCTGGAGAATATTTTTTCCTCACTTCAGTCTGATTGCGAGGTGCAATTGTGTCTTTTGCCTAGGAAATACCTGGCACTGGAATAAACTATGGGTGGACAGGAAGCATGTGAGGACAGTAATATGCTTTTCTACGGAAAGTTCTAATTTGGCTATGTCCTCTGTGCAGCCATTGTTGCAAACTGTGAACTGAAGTGTACCGGTAAATGCAATATTTCGTAATAGCTGTAACTACTCTCAGCAGTACCATCCACCATTCCAAAAATAAATAATATATATACACCCATGACAGCTTTGAGGAGCACAGCAACAAGTTTAAGGTGTTGACCTTGGCTCCAATTTCTTCTGATCTCAATTTAATGTGCTGAACAAACAAGTCACACCTATTAACTCCCCAAGGCAAAGCTAAAAAGACTTAGAAGATCTTCTGCGGACATCTTTAGTACATTTACCATACATCCTCAGGGGACTAGTTGGAAAAACAAATTGCTTTGCAGGTTTTGAACATGTTATTCCTGGTCTCTGTAAGTCACAAAGAACAACTACTTCCAGCGTACTCTGATAGGTCAAGTACCTAAAGGTAATTTCAATACAACAGGAGCAGATAACTGGGGATTAGGTTCTCAGCGGCTATAGCATATCTCCTACAATTTAGTGATCCACCAGAAACCTTAATATACTACAAGCATAGATAAACATTGGCCATTCTCTTTCACTAAACACAGCTGGTCAACCTGTATTCCTAATTCAATAAAGGAAGCTGCAAATTTAGTCAAAAGGCTGAAAGTTTTGCAACCGTCCCCAACATGACTTCTTTAGTTATGCTCTATCTTTAGTTTGTATTTTTATTTACTCTACAATAACTAGTCTTTTTTTTTCTGTTACCAAATTGGTGCAAACCAGTCATGTTTGACTGTTGTGTCAAATTGGCTTAATTAGATTGAAAGATGAAAACTGCAGTTGAATGTCTAGAGCATTTTGTGATCCCCTAGAGCTAATAAGGTTATTCATATGAATGTCCAATTAGGGTGGCAAAATACTGACTATTATAAACCTAGGAATAACAGCAATAATTATGGAACTGAAAATATTATAGGTTGTTTTCAAGTTGGGGAAATCTATTGTTATAACCTGGAAATTAGCAATAATGCACATGGCCATGTTACCATAGTAGTGTTTAGGCCCCACACTCCCTATATGCAAGTGCTGGTCAAGATTCTCAGTCATCCAGGTCAAATTAAGTACATTTCGCTCCCCATTCAGGAAGCTTTTTCAATTAAAAAAATATGCATGGTGCATTCCTCCACTGTATACACAAATGATTTGTACAACACTGAACTATTTTAGTCTTGAAGTTGAGCCCCTGGATGGCATAAAGTAAATATGATTTTACATGTTTTGTTAATATATTACATATATATTGCATATTGATGCTGCAACAAACAAATATTTCAATTACTTTCTATTACTGCTAGTCCATTTTCAGCTTGTTATACGTATTCCCTAAATTCTCTTAGCTTGACCTTTTGTGCAAAGGGGCAGGAGCTTTTTGGCTTTTTTCAGACAACTTAAACATGTTTATCTAATGACAAAATTTAATGCATTTCGGAAAATTTGTGTTGACAAATAAAGAAGCATATTTGCGTTGAAGAAATGTAGACCTCATAAGTAATGCATGCATTGCTAGCTGAGTTTGATCAAATAGTTATCATCAGCATGCAAGTGTGTTCCCATCTTCTGTGTGCTTACCTGACTGTGTTTACCTGCTACCTGGATTGAAACTGAAAGTCATTCAGCTTTTTTCTTATTCTGTAGATACAACTTCTTCATCATCTTGTACCCGCTTGGAGTTGTTGGAGAGCTGTTCACCATTTATGCCGCTCTACCATTCGTACGCAGGTCTGGAATGTACTCCATGAGGCTTCCCAACAAATATAATGTGTCGTTCGACTACTACTACTTCCTCATCATCGTCATGCTATCCTACATCCCACGTAAGGAGAAATTTCTTCCTTATGCTCTGCATCCAGTGGTTTGTAAAACGTTATAAAGCATGTGACCTAACTGAAAAATAATCATCCAAAGTTTGTTTGAACTGTTCCAATTCCATCCAAAGTGTTTCTGACTCCTACAGATACAAAGTTGTCTCTTTAGTGTTGTTCTTTTAAAAACTTATAAAGGTTCTAAGACTGTTATTACTGTTAGGAGCCATGTTAAAACAATTATTATTATTAATGAGGGGTGTGAAATATACTGAATTATGATCATTGTTATATTAGTACAAGCAATATATCAAGACAGCAACTAAAAAAACCAATGTTTGGAAGCAATATATGGTAAATTATAAAATTTGAAATCTCATGTAATCACGCTCTGAATGTAGGTAACAAATTTTGCTAGTTGGATGGATTCCAACTCCTGAAAGTAGAGCAGACATTTGATAGTTGAAAAGCAAAAAAAGTAGTCACAAAAATGTTGGGTAGTAAAAAAGCCAATTACATGTTCACCATGCAACACATGCTTTGTCTGCTTTGGATATTTTGGAGCTGCCATAGCTAAAACCCCTCTTCGACATTGTGTGTCAAGAGAAGGGTCCAGAGATTGTTGGACAAGGGTGATGGTACCCCTTCAAAAGAAGGGAGACCAGACTGTGTGCTCCAAATACAGTGAGGATCACACTCCTCAGCTTCCCTGGGGAGGTCTTTTGAGGTCAGGGTCCTGGAAAGTCCAGCACATTGTCAAATTTTCACTTGAGGAGGAGCAGCGTGGTTTTTGTTACAGCTGTAGAATACTGGGCCAGATCTATACCCTTTAACAGGGTGCTTTAAAGTACATGGGCTTTTGCCCAGCTGGTTCACATAAGTTGGGCAAACAAACAAATTCTGTCCTTTTACTCGTTTTTCAAAGAGAGAAAGAGGGTATTCTCATTAAAATCTGTGCAGGCTAAATGTCATACACATCACTGCGTTACACTGGTGCAACACATTTCTGTATCGAGGCTAATACATCCGCTGTCTTCCTGCTGTCTATCTTTTGATTTCGCAAATCTGAAGACAATTCTTGTGGATTGCAATGTAAAAGTGTGGGAGGGGTCTAGTTTTGGGACCTGCAGATTTTTCTCTTTTTGACAATCACATGGTTCTGCTGGCTTCTTTGAGCCAAAATCTACTGAATGCGCTAAAACAGCTTCGCGATTGAGCGTTTAGGCACCTGCACCTTGGCTAGCCAGGAGCAGCTCGGAGCAAAACTGGTGCTCCTCCATACTGAGAGAAGTCAGCTGAGTTGGCTAAGACATTGTCTCTGAATTCACCCTAGATTGGTGTGTCTCCCACACTAATACAGACAGTGCACTGGTCTGCTATGGTGAAGAGGGAGCTGGAGAAACTTTCCATTTACCGGTTGGTCTAAGTTTCTTTCCTCAATTATGTTCATGGTATCTGCATTATTTCCAGAAGAATGAAATCCCAGTTACAAACGGAAATAATGAGCATCCTTATCAGGGTGGCTGGGCACTCCCTTAGAGACAGGATGAGTAGTTTGACAATCCAGGAGAAGCTTTTAGTAGAGTCGCTCCTCTTCCATATCAAGTCAAATGATGCTGGAGGGACGAGTTCTCTGAGCTGGCCCTAGAACATCTCAGGCTTCTCCAAAGCAGCAGGAAGAGGTGTCTGGGGAAAGGGATGTCTTTGCATCTCTACTGAGACTACCGTCACCCCAGCAACCCAGATAAGTAGAAGAAAACGCATATGAGACTTCTTAAATGCCTCCTGAGAGTGATGTTTCAGGCCTGTCTGAAGGGGCAGCCCAAGACTTAATGTAGAGTCTACATCAGTTGACTAGTCTTGCAATATCTCAGTTTTCCCCAGAGAAGGAGGTTTCTGGGGAGTCAAAGGGCAAAGTGTGGGCATCTTTGCTGAGTCTGCTGGCCTTGTGACCCTTCTGTTAGTCTTTCCTTCCTTTCCTTAGTCTCCCTCAACTTTGTTCTTTCTGTTTTCAGCCATTCAGTTTATCTCTGAATATATTGTTTTATTAAGCCACACCCCAATCAGCAGCCTGTCTATACACCACATGAAGCACAAGGCAATGAGAGCACAGAACAGCAAGACAGCACCCCCCTTAGACAGGATGGACCAGCTACACTCAAAATAAAATAAAGACTCAAGGTATTACCATAACGTAGCTCTATGTGATATAGACTTAATTAAAACAAGGCATAGATATTTACAGACCTTCAACTTTATACATTTTCATATTAAATGTATGTGTTTACTTGCCCGCTAATGTGACAGACCAAAAAAATGTATCTTACACAGATACAAGTTTAGAAGTTTGCCTATGTGATAGGCAAATAAAAAGTAGTCCAGATTTACAAAGTGAAAGAAAATGTAATTCCATCTTTTTATTTGAAAGGAATCTGAAAATATACCTATTTTATTTAAGACCTTATTTCTCCAAAGCCCGTAAAGTATTTAGAGCAGCCAATTGCCTTTGGATGTTTACCAATTGGTAAATACTCTACAATCAAATGGAAAGTCTTCTGTCCAAGTTTATAAGACACTTATTTCAGCGTGCAGCAGTTTCTATGGCAGAATGCAGTGACGTGCGGTCAGGGGAGGCAGGTGAGGCAGTGCCTCACCAGCCATCATGGAAAGAAAGAAAATATATAATCATAAAGTAATTTAAATTGTTATATTCATCCGGTGGTTTGTACTAAAAAATATTCATTTTTCATGTAGCTTCACCAATTTCGATTTTTATTTGTTCAAAATCGCTGAATTTTCTTATTTTCCCATTCAAATGCTTGGAAGCGATGCCGGTGAGGCAGCAGCGAGCTCTGCCTCACCTTGGATTGCGCAACCCCTGGCTCTGCGCTGGCTGCAAAGCGGAGAGAGCATGTTGCTGTACGGCGTCAATAAAATGGTTTAAACAAATGTAATATGTGAACTTATTTCTAATAATTTGGCTTATGTATATAATGTACAGAGCTTTTTGTCACCAACTGTGTTTGTGTAACGTGTTTCGTGTAATGAGCGATTATAAACGGCAGAGAACAAGTTCGAGGTGAGGCAGGCAGTTCTCTTGCCTCATGGCAGGGGGTGCTCAAGAGACTGAAAACATAAGGCAGGAACAGGACGGATCAAGGAAGGCTTTCTTCCCTGGCAGTGATCTCCATTGAGACAGAGAGACTTTTAAAACTGAAGGAAGATAAGGAGGACTTCTATTCATTTATAAGTAAAGGTAAGACAGTAATAACATTTATTTTGTTTTGTTTTTTAAGGAAATGTGTGTTTTGTGAGCTACAGTTTGTATGTGTAAGGATGCAGAAGTGAAACATAACCTGTAAACTGCTGTCAATCTATGCATCTATTTGCAAATCTGATTCTGATGACGTCAGTGCCTCACCAGCTATGAACCTCACCGCACGTCACTGGCAGAATGGCCGAAAAAGAAAACAATCTATTTGTTGCAATACCCTGTCAAGGGCCAGACCTTAACTTTATTTGATTGTCGCAGTGGGAGTGCTCCAGAAACAATTGTCTGCTAACTGCACTATGCTAAGGTAATCATGTAAAGAAGAGCACAAAAGAGGGTGCTTTAAAGGAAAGTAAAACTTCAAGTCACTGCTGCTTCAGGTGTACAAAGGTTATTTTCATGGAAATATTGGCAATTATAAAAACTTCCTTTCCTAACAGTGTAACAGGACCAGGTTGCAAACAACTCATAGTGGTATAATGTATTGTTTTCCAAAATTATGCTCAAAGAGTTTCACCTAAATGATATGTCATACTAGATGATAATGTGGTGTATCACAGAAATAAATGTGGATAAAAGATGTCACTCAAGAAGTTGATCTTACCAAGCAAGTTTATCAAGAAGTACATTTACCACATGTATAATTGTTGCTGTAAGTTTCTGGCAAAACATCCTGTCTCTTTGTAAGGGATTCTTGATTTGCTTTAGCATCACAAGCTTTATAGATACTTAAAAGAACGTTTCAAGTTTTTTTCTTTGAAATATGAAAATCAAAGGTGGAGACAGTGGTTGGTATTTTTATTCAGCCCAAAAAATATTGAAAAGTTGGTCTTTGTGCATCTGCATGGTAACTAATTTGAGGAAAATGGCCCAAAGTGTGTAAGGTTGGGAGGAAAGCATCTGCCATTATCAATTTTCAAGTCTTAACAAATCTCACCAACTAGAATTAGGCCTGGGCCACTATAACAGATAAAAAGATGGAAAGTTCATCATCTGACCAGGGTGCCTTCTTTCGTGTGTTTGCTGTGTGCTTTCATGGCTTTTGGCAAACTGTACTTCTTTGTCTTGCCACTTCCATACATGCCTGATTTGTTACATGCAAGACTAACAGTTATCCTGTTGCAATTCTACCACCTAAACTGAGGATCTCTGCAGCTCTTTCAGACTGGCTGCTTCTTTGTTTATTCTCTTAATGCTGACTTTCTGTTCAGGAGAACAGTTATGTCTAGGTAGGGTTACATATTCTTTGACATTGTTTAGAAGTATTATTCAAAAGGGGTAAGTACAAATGTACCTTAATAGGACCCCCCCCCCCCCCTTCAGAAGTGAGCAGTGGTAACAATCATCTACTCTACTGTATTCATTTTCCTTAGTTTATCCCTCTTCCCTTTTTCAGTCTTTCCTCAGCTCTATTTGCATATGCTGCGGCAGAGGAGGAGGGTGCTCCATGGTGAAGTAATAGTAGAGAAGGATGACTAGACGTGCGCCACCTCGTCCATTTAAGCCAGCCTGCCTGCACATCACCCTGACAAAACGTCTGTTCCACCCACTCACCAGTGACACCCCTCACCTTTTTATTTTGGCCGTTGGCATTCTTATCTGCCTGGGACCTGCAGAATAGCTGAGGACCTCCCTGCTAACCAGCGATGATGATGAAAACTGGGATACATTTCTGTCTGATATATGATTTGGTAAGATGTTTACAGTTCTGGAGTTACACCACAGCACTAAGATATCTGGATCCCCTTATTCAACCACTGGCTTTACACCATCTCATTGCACCGAAGAATAACTGAGCCACATCACTGGTTCGTGACATGAAAAATGAGAAGAAACGTGGAAGGAAGATTGTACGTTGTGTGCTCTGAATTGTCCCTCAGCCCTACAATTTGGTGGATTTGAAAAGTGATGCGACAGCACAGATCACGGTACAAAAAGTTCAATCATACCTCAACAATAAATCTACATTTAGACAAATGTGCTGCTGCTTTTGTGTATATTTGTTTTACCTTTTGTTTAAACTATGCAATGTAAAATCTTAATCCACAGCATCTCAGAGCAAGCACAGCTCCGACTTAATTCTGTCTGTTTGGCTCAGCTAGTGCTTTCTTTTAATATTCTGATGTTTACTATCCTAAAGAGATTTTCTTGGAGTCTTTGCAGAAATTAGTGTGTAAATCAGCATTTTTAGGTTTTTGTCAGCCATCATTCTGCGTCTCATTTTGTGTTAGGTAGTTGGCCAGGATCGTAATTAAAGGTGCAATTATTAAGATCTTTTCAATCTTCTGTGCAGCTGAAGGAGTGACTGTGATTGGAGTTGACCTAAAACAGGAAAGCAGGATTTGAAATGACTTAAGAGGAAGTGTCAATGATCTGAATGGACTGTGGTTAATCAAAGAGAATCAGTTTTGCTTATCATCTTGGTTAAAAGAAAAGTGAAAGAATATAAACCAAATGTTAAATTAAGCAGAAGGACATTAAAAAAATGTGAAACTACCTTTTTGTGAAAAATAAACTAAATTCTTCAACAGCGAGGAGTTTTTGCGATGAACTTCACTTGATTTAAAAATCAAACAACTCTTCAAAGTTTGATGGATTTATTAGAGATTTTTCCTTCAATGTTTGTAATTTAAACCTGAGTGCAGAAAAAGTACATTTTCTACAAGTCGGAAAGCTCAGTGAATGTTTATTATATTCAAGACTTCTAAAGATACACAAATCTATGATCCAGAGACAATAATCTGTTTTTTTTTTTTTCAATTTATGATCGGCTGTGAGAAATATTCTAGAAAGCATTTCCCCCTTAATCTTTAATCGCATTTAAACTAAGACCATTAACCTGTTTTGGTTTGTAAAGACATCACAGGTGCATGTACAGGTTGATCTAAGTACATCTTAATTGCATTTCAGTCATTACATATATCAATACTTCATTAGAGACAGAATGATATATTTCAAGCATTTAGTTTTGCTGTTTAATTTCAGATTATGGTTTACAGCTAACAAAGATTTCAATAGAGAAAGAATACATTAAAGTCCAAACAGTCACATGGAAGACAGCTGTGCTGCAGACGTCTGGTTCTTCATCTAGAGTTTAAGTAGAAAAGGTTTCAGATAACATATATCCCATCATTCTGTACTAGTGGACAGGTTATTAAAAAGAACAAAACTGATAGAAAGAGATGTGCAAGCAAAGATAAGCATAGACGGCAAGAGGAGCCTTAAAACAAAGCAAAAAACTCTGTTTGAGGGAGATTTTATGCTTCAAGAGCGACCAAACACAGACTATAACTGTGTAAAAAAACACTCTTGAACCATAAAAAAACCATCAGAACCACCTTACCTGGATAAATAGAGGAGAAAAAAACATCATGTCTGCTGGTGTTGGTTAGCTGTGTTTTTATCAGGTGCAAAGTCAGCGCAGTTGTTAATAGGGAAACTCCATGCTTCCCTTTGCTGTAAGCAATTAAGGAGAATCACTAGAGGGACTTGATCCCCTGAGATATATTTGGAATATCCCAAAGAGGAAGAGATGACATCAAGGCCAAAAATGCAGAGGAGCTAAAGCTACCTGCGCCTTCTTAACACTTCGGCAGAGCAGAGCTACAGGTTGTCTAAATACATCTATTGATGTAACATTGCATGCAACAGAGCCATGCTGAAGTACTTAGTGCAAAATTGTACAGAACAGAAACATATGGTCATGACTTCTTAATAAAATGATTTTTGATGTTTTGTGAGTTACAACTCATGATTAGTTGTAAACCATTAAGAATAATAGAATGAAATGCTTAAAATAAACCACTTTTTCATCAGTGAAGCTGTATAAGGTTTATCTCCTTTTCCTCAAAATACTAAAACTAAGTTTTATGTAATATTCTCTAATTTATTGGACTGCAACATTAATGTTATGCTCTTTATCTGATTCAGATTTGGCAACGATGCATGGAGTCGTAAATTAGAATATTCTTGCAAATCTTACCTAAAAATCGAAACCAGTACCTCTATTAAAGAGCCTAGAGCTTTTTTTTCTCATTTAGGTGTTCTAGCCCTTAGAAATAAAATCTCCAGGTCAGACCCTAAATCGGTGTTGGACAGAAAAAGCCTGATTCGTGCAAAAAAAAAAATCTATTTGATTATAACATTTTCCTAAAATGACATGTACCTTTATTATATTTATGTTTTAGTGAAATTGTACATAAACATTCACGAGGTTAGATAAACGTTTCAGTGAAGATAGCATATCTGCTGCAGACTTTTTGTGCATCCTTTTGCACGTTGTAATCTGAAATATACAGAAATACAGTCCTTTTGACCTTTATAGCCCCTATACTTCCTTACAAAACTTGGCTAATGAAACTAACAGATGTGTAGTTGTACAGGTATATAAAATGTTGTATATAAAAAAAAAGAACAGCAACGGATTTTAACAGTTTGTCCTCCGTTTGGATGTCGGGCTGTATTGCACTTGCTGGTAATGATGCTTTGACTTCACTTTGGAGGACTCTGTTTCAGAAATCTGTTTTCTGCTGGAGCCCCTGGTCTCCACTTGAATTGTCTCTGACTTCCCAAAGTCTGTTTTCTCTCAGTCCAGACTGTCCACCTTGGTAGTCCATCAGTCATGGACAAAGTAAAGCTGCTCACTTGGGTTCTTGATTCAATGCCCTGCTAAGATCTTGCTGTAAAAAACAAATAAAAAACAAGTATAACATTTCAAATGACTTCAAAATACAAGTTCAAGTGAAAATAAATGATTCAGTCCTGAAAGTTGACTTACAGGTCTCAAGTTTCTTCTCACAGATAAAGTGAATGGAATCTTCACAGAAGAAATCGTTCCACAGGCCTTCATGGATGAGGCCCGCGCAGTCTTCCCCTGACTGATGCTGGTGGCCCCAGTTGTCTGGCTGTCCGGGCTTCCACTTCCTGCAGGCAGACAACAGGGGGCAATCACACATTACATTCACAATCAAAACTGCTCTAAATATTTACAGTTTCTTGATTATAAAAGCAAAGAGTTAAAATATTATGGCTGTTTAAAACTTTTGCAGATCACTGTATGAATGAAATTAAAGCAGAAGATAATTTCTTTATCAAAGTCAGAAGAATTAAACATGTTTTGATATGAATGAAAACACTTTTATTCAAAACACTTTTGGAAACATTTATGCTAAAAACAGTTTATCAATCAAGAAAATATATTTTTACAAACAGAAAAAAACCCTCTTATTGATTGATGACTTAACACTGACGTGAAAGTGGGAACCGTGCCGTCCTCCCAGCGCCACACATTCTCCTCCTCTCTGTCCGTCAAACCCATCCAGAAGTACCCTTTATGGACTATTTGCCTCTCCAGCCATTTCTGCAATAGAAAAAAAAAACCATCCTTAGATTGAAATCATTTAAAACAATCGGGAACATTTAATGTAATTACATCTCATCACCTGTTCTTCTTCATCACAGATGATCAGCAAGGTTGCTGATTTTGATTCACAGTTTGTCTTCGAATCATTAAAACTGTGCATGACTTTAGAAAAAAAGTAGCACTTGTTTTTGTAGTTTAACCAACCAAGAGGGCAACCTGCAAAACATAAAAAAAAATAAAAATTGGTTGAGATAATGCACTCGTTTGTTTTTTTCTGATCAGTAATAATGTTTTTATTTTGCCACTAATGATAAACAGCATAAAAACATTTTTAATTTATCTGTGCAACTGCTAAGAGTATTTTTTTCACCAATATCATTCAATTAAGTTTATTTATAGGTCCATTTTAAACAAAAATGTAAATTGTGAACTATTTAAATAACAGATTCCATTTTTATAAAGTGGGGGTTGGCACTTTAAAGTCCAGGGTCGGTATCATCAACTTTTAATAATGTACTTGAATCAAGTGTTTCAATAATAAAGAAGATTCAGGACTGCATCCTAAGGAGGTAAATCAGCCATTTGTATCAGGCATGTTGGACCAAGGAAGCCTCTAGAATTTGCAGGATACTGACCCTTTAGAGCTGAAATTGCCCACCCCTGATAAAAAAGAAATATAAGTATGTTATAAATGCTCTAAACATAAGCAAACATTACTGAAAAGGCAGAAACTTGCACATGATTTGAGTAGGTAAGCAAATCAATCTGTCAATCTGTCAGTGGAATAGATCAGTTTGCTTACCTGCTCAAATGAAGGACAAATACACTCATTTAAATGTTTTTCTTTTTTATTCTATATCAGTTTTATTTCAATATAAATACATACAATCCAACTTCCTTTCAATTACAAAACAATGCATTTCAATTCCATCCATCGTATTAAAGGCATAGTGAAAGATTTTTTGCCAATTTTAGAAAAGACATGCCCTCTCAGCTTTAAAAAAAAAAATGCAAATGCAAAACTCCCTACCCGCTCCCGAGAAGGAATGCCTATTAAAGGTGTGCGAGTGCATGTATGAGCCCATTTCTCCTCGTGCACGCTCCGTTTAAAAGGTGCTTTTCTCATAGCTCATACAAGCTTACTGTTCGCCCTAACCCCTAGATCCCTCAATCACTATATAGAGCGGGGATTATATAGTGGACTTTATAGTGAACTCAGTTAACTGAGCATTCAGACAGACGAACACTACTTTTAACTCCCTGATGGTCATGTAAACTCCTCCTCCACTGCACATTGCCTGCGCCGTCTTTGTTATTAGTCGCCGCTGTTTGGTAGCGACAGCTGGGAGCTGTGACAGTAAATCCCATGATGCTTTGTAAGGAGAGCTCTCAACGCAAAGCATTCCGGGATATATCTGCCTCTTATGAGGCCTTTTCCTTTCTACTCATAGACTTCGTAAACACTTTTTCTCTTACGACCCTCGGCCATTTTCAAAGAACTGCGGTGAGAAAGCCTTTCAAGCGTACAGTATACGTAGGCAAGCGCGGAAAAGGATAGCTAACTGGAAGAGCACTTAGGACGGCCTTACGTAAGCATATCACCAGAATGATTGACAATTAGGAGGACCACTTATTTTGATTATCCACCCGGAAAAAGAAAATTCACCACTATACCTTTAATCGGCAAAATGTTTTTGTTTTTTTGCCGGAAGACTTTATAAAGCAGCATAATTTCAGGCAATCCCTTGTCATGAAGGAGCATGTGCTATCAGTGGACGGTTAACTGTTCTGCATTGTTAACTTTTGCATAAAAAACTTCTCATCAGTCAATAAAGGAGTCGGTTTTACCTGGAGCTGACAAAGCTGGAGAAACTGCCTCATCCTGTTGTAAGACTGGGGAAAAAGAAAGTGCTGGACTCTGGGATGCTGGTAGGCCTGGTGGTCCTGCAGGCCCTGGAGCCCCAACTGGCCCAGGAAGTCCCCTGGGACCTTGTTCCCCAGCTGGTCCAATTGGTCCACGGATTCCTGGCGGGCCCTGTGGTCCAGGCACACCAGGCTGACCATCTCTTCCTGGTAGACCGGCAGGCCCCGGCTCTCCCTTTGCTCCCGGAGGTCCAGCTCTGCCCCCTGACCCTCGAGAGCCTTTAGGTCCAGGGCTCCCTGGTAAACCAGGGAGGCCTCTTAAACCTGGTAGACCTGGAGGTCCCGGTGAACCCAGCTCTCCTCTAGGTCCTCTCATTCCTGTGGGTCCTTTCATTCCTTTCTCTCCCTTTGATCCTGTCTGACCAGGTGGTCCTGGAGGTCCTCTGTCCCCTGTTTGTCCTCTCGGACCAGGTGGGCCTTAAAATTTAAAGAGTTCATTGCAATTTTTGAGAAAACTCGACAGTAGTTAAAATATTTATGTTAATAGTCATTATTTTCATATATTATTGAAGGTAAATTGTTTCATTAACCACCTGATTACTCACCCTGTAAGATAGTGAAGTTTGTTATCAGCTGTGAGTGTTTGGTGTCCACCAGCTTCATCTCCTCCATGATAATAGAGAGACTGGTGACCTCCTTGTCTAAACGAGCTGCTAGGTCCTGCTGCTGTAACTTCAGGCTGGATGTATCCGTCCTCACATCCGTCACACTGTTGTTGAGGTTCTGCAGGACATCTGAGTGACGGCCGAGGGTCTCGGACCAGCTGCGTAAGTCATTGAGGTTTAGGTTTATGGCTCCCAGAAGTTGTGTGGTGAAGCTCAGGTTGCCAGACACACGATCCATATTTTCCTCCAACTCGTCCACTTGCATCTCCATCCGGTCAAACTTTGTGGAGGTGACATTGCTAAAGTCTCTTTGCTGGTCCATGATCTGCCTTAGCGTCTGGTCATGAGCCTCAGCCAAGCTGCTGGTGTTCTGCAGCTGGTTGGTCATAAAGGCGAGCTGTGTCTCCACATCCTCCAGGCTTTCATTGTTGGCTTTAGCCAGAACTAAGGTATTGCTGGCTAAAACTTGCAGATTTTCCATTTTTCCACGAAGCCATTCTCCATCAGAACTTGTCTGACGTGACATCTGCTCCAAGTTCTGATAGTCACTGCGCATTTTGTGTATTGCCTGGCTGGTTTCATCAACCGACCGCTGCAGGGCTGCAATAAGGCCTCTCTGCTGGGCTTGAGTAAAGTTCAGATTGCTGATACTGAGCAGTGCCTGGTTTTGTAGTTTCACTTGCTGCTGGAGCTCCCTCTGCAGTCTAGCTGTGTCCCCCTTCAGACTGTCAATGATGCTTCCATAAGACTGCAGGGTGCCGTTTACTGAGCGCAGGGTGGCTGTGTTGCTGTTGAGCAGTCCCTGAATGGTGCCCTGGCTGCTCTGAATCTCTGAACCGATGCCCTGCAGCTGATTCAACTTGACTTGATCGGTGTGGACGTGTTCCTGCACCACAGACAGCTGCTTCTGCAGAGCCCAGATGTTGCTCTTGAAAGCCTGGATCTCTGTGGTGGTATTCTCTGACTTCTCTTCCGTTTGATCATCTATAAATGTACATTTGGACATACAATTGCAGAAATCTCTATTTGTCTCATTTTTGTATGTTCATGTAATCTCCAAGAAAAACATACCAAGTTTTTTTAGATTTGTCTCAACCGCAATTATCTTTCCTCCATAGTTGGCAATACCTTCAGACACACTGTCGACTCTTTGCACCACTGCAAGGAAAAAGAAGTGGAAACACAAAGGTTGGTGTTGCAATCTTATAAGGAATAGTTTTAAACAGACTAAAAAAGGCCTCCAGCTAAAGACATCACTGTATAAAAGAGCTCAGAGAAGGAGCCAATGAAAATATCTCCTTTATTCCCCTGCATTTCTCGTAGTCATGTAATAAAGGTAGACTTTGTTAAGGTAAGTCCTTGGATTAGATAAAAAAAATAAGACAAGATGCAAGTACATGGAGTAAGGAATCATGCAACATATGTAAGTGTTAAAAAAGTCAGAGGAAAAAACGATTCACCAATAACACTGGGTGGTCAGTGAGCTTGAATGAGGCTGGAGCTGCATGGAGCTACACAGGCCATGGCCCTGGGGGAAAGGGACTGACATGGGGGATGGGGGGGATCCTTCAGTAAATGGATGGATCAAAGAAAACACTGTAGACAGACACTGTTGCGGGGAGGCTCTTCGCGCCTCCACAGGCGACACCGTCGTTCATTTCCTCTGGAATGTGTCTGGGATTCCAGGAAGGCAGCCCACTTCCACCACCAGTCACTCCAGGGGGACACTTCCTCCAACTGGGAACAGTATGGGTTACTCTACTGGGAGACTGTTTACCCCAGGAGCTAAGAGGGTACTTTTTACCAAAAAAATTTGACTTAATGATGCTAATCTATGCATAACTCCTGGGATCAGTATGGATCAGAATAATTTGAGGTTCAATAGACAATAACGTTTTCCGGAAGTGCGTGGGGTTGAATTTTTATATTTTTTTAAAGAGCCAAGAGTGTTCCTTAAACTTGGCTTCTTTGAAAATTCCTTAGTTAATATTTAGAAACTCCTTAATTTATTGTTACATAAAACAAATCATTGATCTTCAGCCTGGTGCTTTATCATAACGCTAACATATACTGTACAGATGAATTTCTTCCTAAACTGCCTTTCTTCAGATTACAAATAGGCATCTAAACAGTCGAAACGCCCACGTTAAAGTGTTAGTGTTATAAAGCAAATAAGATAAATGGATTAAGATAAATAGTTCAGAAAATGTATTCAGTCTTAATTGTTACATCTATGCTTCTCATTTTAGCTAAACACCATTTGAGCGAATAAAAACAGAAAAAAACTTTAAGGGCCTAAGTTGATAGGTAAGTGCAAACTTGAACTGGTACCCTGTTAATTGTACTTTTTAAAATTCCATAATTTATTCATTTTGTGCAACCAGAATTAATCTAATTCTATCCTTTTTTATCAGGATTTTACTGGCATTTATTTATTAGCATCCTTTAGGCATAGCTTTCAAAATGTTTGCAAAGGTCAAATACAATAATGTTATACAAAGATGTTAGTCAGGAGAAGAATAAAAATAAACTACATCTACATATTTCAGTACATATTTTTGTATCTTTGCAAGGAGAAAATGAAAAGCACCTCAGGGTGAGCGCTTTTTTTTTTACTTGTTCTGTTATAATTTATTTTTTAAAATTGACAGACTAAATTTAAGCAAATTCTTTTCTTCCAGGGAAAAAAATACATCTCTAGCAGAAATACATCTCTGGCATGAAGAAAACTGTTAATTTGATTTGATTAAAACAAACCATTGGACTATACCTTCAAGTATGTCAGATTTAAAAAGCAAACATCCATCCATCCATCCATCCATCCATCCATCCATCCATCCATCCATCCATCCATCCATCCATCGTAGGGCTGATATAGAACTATGCCCACAAACACTAACACCATGCCAATCCGACTTATTTTATTAGCCTATAGGAAAATTTAATTATAGGATTTTATTTAACAAGTTTTTAAAGATGTTGATAGCTGAGGGCAGGAAGGATATTCTGTAGCTCTATTTCTGGCACTGGGTCTAGGGAAGCCTTTGACTGAAGACACTATTTTTGTTTAACAGTTCACTGAAGAAGACACTCAGCTGCCGTTTTATCAATATGTGTACTTGTGCGTTCTCATGTGCTTGTGTACTCGTAAAACGTCATCAGCCTCGACCCTAGTACCGTTCCAATTCACAAGAACAGCAGACCGGGAAAGGACAAAGTCCCAGGATGTTGTTCTCGCCCCTCCCTATTTACTGAGTATGCATCAGAGCAGACCTGTCCGTTCTTGAGATTAACAGCCATCCCAGCATGAACTGCGGCAGCTGCAGCTTCCAATGGAGTGCTCACAGAGCTCAGAGTATTAAGTTAAAAGTTCTCCTTTTTGTTACCATTGTTCAATTAAAGTACGTTTTAAGATAATTTGAGGCAAGAACATTATACTTTCAAGCGTCAGTTTATGGCCAATTTACTGATTTAATGCATAATAAAATAAAATAAAACATTCGAAGTTGAGAGGACCGCGGCAACCAGCGAACCTCGGAGGTTAAATTCAGCCTGGTCTAATCTTAGCCCGTCTGCAGCAGCACTCTCTCGGCCTAGCCATGTTTGAAGGAACGCTGGCTATGATGCCGATTTTTTGGTTTTATTGGGCAAAATGTTCATTTGATTTGTGTTTATCTAACTGTGTTAATTATTATTCCCTCACTAAATGAAAAAAGTCAGAATTTATTATTATCTATTATTAGCCCCAGACAAACCGAGCATGTGGTGACGTAACGAGTACACTTCCATTCCAATTGACCCATATTTATGCTGCGTGCTCCAGTTCACCCCAAGTCCACACTTTCCTATGTTCTTCTCAAGAACATACTTGGCATGGACACAAGTCCGTACTCGCGTTCTTGTGAATTGAGAAATGGCCAGGGTTTTCCCTAATGTTCTTCATTTTATGCAGACTACCTATTTGTGAAATCATCTCTGACGGTTTTAGAGAAGTATATCAGTTTCTGTAAGTCATTTGCTCTGATGCTGTTACCCTAGCAGGTGAAGGCAGAAGACATCTTATAGAAGATACGCAACACTTTCCTGCAAATGCCAAAGGACCTGTGCTTGCTTAAGAACAACAATCTGCTCTGTCTGTTCTTGTAAAAGGCTTCACAGTCTCCAGTCTAGTTTGTTGACCAGGTGAACACCAAGGGTATTTACACTCCTCAACCACCACCACTTCTTCTCCCATGATGGTAAAGGCCTACCAGTCTAGTTTAATTCAAACCCTTAGACTTCTTTCATAGACAGCTGATGATGAAGAAGAAGAAACGTCTTTCAGGGGACTTGAAATAACTCCAGGTATTGCCTTTTCTTTCAGGAAGAGGGAGATTCATCAAGAGTTTGAACAGAAATAAAGCCTCTGTTTCCTCAGGTCACAAGACGAGCCCTTGGAATTTCCAAAAGTAACAGAGCTTCTGATACCAACAGTCTTCTGGGATATCGGAAGACAGCCAGTTGAGTTGTAATATGTCAGTATATCGGATATTGGCCCTATTTGCTATATATGCATCCCAAATAAAAGCATGTTCTTTACGGAAGTATCTCCAATAGTGTCCATGACATCATCGCCCATAGAGAATTTGGTTATTCCACTTGAGATAGTTGTTTCTCTCATGGTTTTTATATGGTGTTTTAAATGACATTTATGACATAAAAAGTATAAAGACACATAATTAGGAATTTATTTTTATTCTTTCCCTATAGTTTTTTTTTAAGCTTTTGTGGTCTCCTGGTGAGTATAATTAGCAGTTGATGCACTTTGTTGTATCAACTCCAGGTGGTCCTGGAGGTCCTCTGTCCCCTGTTGGTCCTCTCGGACCAGGTGGGCCTTAAAATTTAAAGAGTTCATTGCAATTTTTGAGAAAACTCGACAGTAGTTAAAATATTTATGTTAATAGTCATTATTTTCATATATTATTGAAGGTAAATTGTTTCATTAACCACCTGATTACTCACCCTGTAAGATAGTGAAGTTTGTTATCAGCTGTGAGTGTTTGGTGTCCACCAGCTTCATCTCCTCCATGATAATAGAGAGACTGGTGACCTCCTTGTCTAAACGAGCTGCTAGGTCCTGCTGCTGTAACTTCAGGCTGGATGTATCCGTCCTCACATCCGTCACACTGTTGTTGAGGTTCTGCAGGACATCTGAGTGACGGCCGAGGGTCTCGGACCAGCTGCGTAAGTCATTGAGGTTTAGGTTTATGGCTCCCAGAAGTTGTGTGGTGAAGCTCAGGTTGCCAGACACACGATCCATATTTTCCTCCAACTCGTCCACTTGCATCTCCATCCGGTCAAACTTTGTGGAGGTGACATTGCTAAAGTCTCTTTGCTGGTCCATGATCTGCCTTAGCGTCTGGTCATGAGCCTCAGCAAAGCTGCTGGTGTTCTGCAGCTGGTTGGTCATAAAGGCGAGCTGTGTCTCCACATCCTCCAGGCTTTCATTGTTGGCTTTAGCCAGAACTAAGGTATTGCTGGCTAAAACTTGCAGATTTTCCATTTTTCCACGAAGCCATTCTCCATCAGAACTTGTCTGACGTGACATCTGCTCCAAGTTCTGATAGTCACTGCGCATTTTGTGTATTGCCTGGCTGGTTTCATCAACCGACCGCTGCAGGGCTGCAATAAGGCCTCTCTGCTGGGCTTGAGTAAAGTTCAGATTGCTGATACTGAGCAGTGCCTGGTTTTGTAGTTTCACTTGCTGCTGGAGCTCCCTCTGCAGTCTAGCTGTGTCCCCCTTCAGACTGTCAATGATGCTTCCATAAGACTGCAGGGTGCCGTTTACTGAGCGCAGGGTGGCTGTGTTGCTGTTGAGCAGTCCCTGAATGGTGCCCTGGCTGCTCTGAATCTCTGAACCGATGCCCTGCAGCTGATTCAACTTGACTTGATCGGTGTGGACGTGTTCCGTCAATGCAGTTGATGCACTTTGTTCCCTAAAATGTATTAATTTCCTTCTATTTTAATGAAAAAAGGGATGAAACGTATAATTAAGTTTCATGCTGCTGAGAGCTTTTCTGTTAAATGAGCTTATAATTACAATGAGACCTCCTGTGTGCAGCTCTTTGTCTCACTAGCAGCCTTCACCATTGCCCAAGAATGACAATGAAGTTCAGTCA